GGGCCAAAGTTTGACCATGTGGTCCTAGAGAAGTGTCCATATAAACGATCTTCCGAGATACCTTTCTGCCTCGGGAAGCCCGTCAAGGGTTGCCCGACAAAGTGGTCCTGGGGGGCCGGAACCAAATGTGGGGTTGCACTCCTGACTGTAGGGAGCTGGGCCAGGGGCGGAGCGGGCGCCGGAGCTGCGGGTTCCTCCTTGATGTCCATCGGAGCCTGGTCAGCATTCGGCCCAACGTTTGGGGCCAGAGGGAAGCTCCCTGGGGCCTGCAATGGAAGCGGGAACAAGCTGGCGGAAGGTGGGTTGCTTGACCCTGGATAAGTGCTGAAGAGGCTGGGCCCATGGGGGTTCGGTTCCGGAGGGGCGTTTCTGCAGAACGGACCATCGAACAAACCAGGAAAATCCCCATCTTCCGTGGTGATCAATTGCAGCATATCTGGGGGAAAGGGCAAAGAATCCCATTATATCTTGTTCCTATGAGGCTTCGAGTTGAGCCTATTATGGAAGGATTAATTGACTGGTTGAATAACTACACTATGTAACTTGATGCTTGTTTATTTATTTAGCAATTTTGTATACCGGTCTTCTCCCCTCTATCGGGGGACTCGGGCCGGTTTCCAACAATAAAATCACAAAACAATCATTAAAAACATCATATAACATATTCAATTAAAACGTTATAACAGCAAAATGCAATCACATAATAACAATGGTCAGTCGTCATAGTGAATTCGTTGTCCATCATTCATCGTCATCTATCCGATCACAGAAATATTGATTCACTCGTCGAAAGCCAAACCCCATAGCCAGGTTTTCACCCGTTTTCTGAACGACAGAATGGAGGGGGCAGTTCTGATCTCCAGTGGGAGAGAGTTCCAGAGTCGAGGGGCCACCACCGAGAAGGCCCTGTCCCTCGTCCCCACCAGACGCGCCTGTTCCTGGGTTATAAATGTTAGGTCCTAATTGGTTCTATCACGAAAACATGGAAAAGGTTTATTAAAATGTGAAAACTTTGTTTTTGTGGGATGGACATCCTGCAGCAGCACATTTTGCTCTAGTTTTTCAATGACGATCTTTATTGTGTACCAGTTTTGTTGTATAATAATAATAATAATAATAATAATAATAATACTGCTTTCATCTCTGCCAATTCCAGTAACAGAGAGTCTACTGTATTAAATCATTATGGATTGCCCACGTGGTCTCTTCCAACCCTATGATTCTACGATTCTATCATCATCATCATCATCATCATCATCATCATCATCATCCTACTTTTATTTCTGCCAGAACTCTGAGTTCCAGTGATTATTTTTAATTATTTTTAATTGTTATTAATAAAAATAATAAAAAATAATAAAAATAATAATTTTAATAATAATAATAATAATAAATCACACAGTCCTAGATGCTTGGGAAGTGTTCAACTTGTGATTTTGTGATACAAAATCCAGCATATAGATCTCGTTTGCTGTGACATACTGTGCTTTTGTAAAATAATAAATGTAGTAATAATAGGGTAAAATACTGTAAATGTAATAATAATAATAATAATAAATAGATTAAAATAATAAATATAATAATAATTATAGGTTAAAATACTGTAAATGTAATAATCAGAATCATAATAATAATAATAAATAGATAAACCTATTATTAAATAATAAACCTATTATTATTATTATTACATTTATTATTTTAATCCATTTAATATTATTATTATTATGATTCTGATTATTACATTTACAGTATTTTACCCTATTATTATTTTTATTACATTTATTATTTTAATATATTTCTTATTACTATTATTATTACTACATTTACAGTATTTTAACCTATTATTATTATTACATTTATTATTTTAATCCATTTAATATTATTATTATGATTCTGATTATTACATTTACAGTATTTTACCCTATTATTATTATTATTATTATTATTATTACATTTATTATTTTAATGTATTTCTTATTACTATTATTATTATTACATTTACAGTATTTTAACCTATTATTATTATTATTATTATTATTATTACATTTATTATTTTAATCCATTTAATATTATTATTATGATTTTGATTATTACATTTACAGTATATACACAGTACTTCTCCCCAAACTACAAATCCCAAAAAGGAGTTATAGCAATTAAACTGCTATCAAACTGCTAAATATTTCTTATTACTATCACTGCTAAATTATGATGATGATGATGATGATGTTTATTATTAGTATTATTATTTGTTGACAGCAGGAATTGTGTGCATCCTCCAAATGTGGGTGGACTACAACTCCCAGCATCTGTCAGCACTGGCTAGGGGATGCTGGGATTTGCAATCCCGGCTTTACAATCGAAGTCCTGCATTTCCCATCTCACAAAAGCAAAGCGGTGTGTTTCGACACCCAGCTACATAGAAAAGCAGCCAAGGCCTTCTGGATATGCCTTAAGACAGTGTTTCTCAACCTGGGGGTCGGGACCCCTGGAGGAGTCACGAGGGGGTGTCAGAGGGGTCGCCAAAGACCATCAGAAAACACAGTATTTTCTGTTGGTCATGGGGTTTCTGTGTGGAAAGTTTGGCCCAATTCTATCATTGTGGGGTTCAGAATGCTCTTTGATTGTAGGTGAACTATAAATCCCAGCAACTACAACTCCCAATGTCAAGGTCTATTTTCCCCAAACTCCACCAGTGTTCACATTTGGGCATATTGAGTATTCTGTGCCAAGTTTGGTCCAGATCCATCATTGTTTGAGTCCACAGTGCTCTCTGGATGTAGGTGAACTACAACTCCAAAACTCAAGTTCAATGCCCACCAATCCCTTCCAGTATTTTCTGTTGCTCATGGGAATCCTCTGTGCCATGTTTGGTTCAATGCCATCGTTAATAAGGTTTAGAATGCTCTTTGATTGGAGGTGAACTATAAATCCCTGCAACTACAACTCTCAAATGACAAAATCAATTTTTGAGTGATGGTCACTCCTTAGGTTAGTAGGTGTCTTGTGGCCAAATTTGGCGGCTATTTGTCTAGTGGTTTTTGAGTTACGTTAATCCCACAAACGAACATTACATTTTTATTTAAATAGATTATTATTATTTGTTGACAGCAGGAATTGTGTGCATCCTCCAATTGTGGGTGGACTACAACTCCCAGCATCTGTCAGCATTGGCTAGTGGATGCTAGAATTGAAGTCCTGTGCTAAAATGCAACTGAATTCCCATCTCACAAAAGCAAAGCGGTGTGTTTCGACACCCGGCTACATAGAAAAGCAGCCAAGGCCTTCTGGAGATGCCTTAAGAGCATGCAAAACCTGGCTCTGATATCCTGAGTGTGTTCCTTTGGACAAGCTGGGGCTCCATTGTGCAATAAATATGTGTCTATGCTTACTTGGAGGACTCTCCCCTCCCTCCGGAATGAGGGTGGAATTGTGAATCACTGGATTTAGCATGAGGTGATCCCCGCCGGCCAATCAGGAGCCGCCGCTCGGCCTCCAAGGTGAATGAATGGCGCTGGGGTTACTATAGGGCATCCCGGGTTAACCCCTTCCTCACCTCCAGAAGCCAGGCGGGGTTACTCCAGGTCAAATGCAAGGGCTTTGCTCCTTCAGGCCTGGAAGAAAAGGTTACCTTTCCAATCCCATGACTGTTTTTTTAATGATCAGGGATACTCAACCTGTATCAGCACAGAAATGGAAGATTTATTTTCAATTTCAATATTTTTTTTTTTTTGCCCAGAATGGCATTGGCCTTTGTTGCTGCAGCTGAACATGGTGGGGACATTTTGATTACTCCAATCTATTCAGGCCTGGCAGGCTGCAGATGGGGAAGGGCATTTTCATCATCATCATCATCATCACCATCATATTATTTATTTATTTATTTATTTATTTATTTATTTATATCTTGCTTTATCTCACCATATGGAGACTCAAAGCAGCTCACCATCAAAAATATTACAACTTCAAATATACAATAATAAAACAGTATATCGTTAAATATTATGATCTATGATATGCAAATATACAAGAATAAAACAGTATAATGTTAAATATTATGATATATGATATGCAAATATACAATAAAACAGTATATTGTTAAATATTATTATATATGATATGCAAATATACAATAATAAAACAGTATATTGTTAAATATTATTATATATGATATGCAAATATACAATAATAAAACATTATATCATTAAATATTATTATCTATATTATGCAAAATACAATAATAAACAGTATATCGTTAAAATTACAGTATATCGTTAAACAGTATATCGTTAAAATTACAACAGCAAAACAGCAGAGAGGAAACAACCAGGCACATCTTAACACCTCTCAACAAAAGATTCCCCCAGGCTCAGCCAGGCCTTTCAATGCTAATGAAGGTGATCAGTTGAAACATTCACACCTAGCTCCAGCAGACAAGAGTCCTTTGTCCCACCCTTGTCATTCCACGGATATATAAACCCCTTTTTCCTAGTTCCAACAGACCTCACTACCTCTGAGGATGCTTGCCATAGATGCAGGCAAAACGTCAGGAGAAAATGCCTCTAGAACATGGCCATATAGCCCGAAAAAACCCACAAGAACCTAGTGATTCCAGCCATGAAAGCCTTCGACAGTATATCGTTAAATAGTATTATCTATGATATGCAAATATACAATAATAAAACAGTATAATGTTAAATATTATTATCTATGATATGTAAATATACAATAATAAAACAGTACATCGTTATATAGTATTATATATCATCAGTAAACATATTTAATATATTAGTATTACCATATTGCAATATTATTATATATTATTATATTGTATTATTAGTATTATATTGTATCAGACTATAATATTATTATCAACATTATATGTATTACAATATTAGGATGAATATATTAGGATTATATATTACTATATTGTACTATGCCACTATACTGCAATATTATTAGTAACATTGCATGTAATATACAATATACAATTATTATATTATTATATTCTAAGGTAAAGGTTTCCCCTTGACATTAAATCTAATCATGTCCAACTCTGCGAGTTGGTGCTCATCTCTATTTCTAAGCGGAATAGCCGGCGTTGACCATAGACGCCTCCAAGATCATGTGGCCAGCATGACTGCATGGAACGCCCTTACCTTCCCACCGGAGTGGTACCTACTGATCTACTCACATTGCATGTTTTTGAACTGCTGCATTGGCAGAAGCTGGGGCTATCAGCAGGAGCTCACCCCGCTCCCTGGATTCGAACTTGCGACCTTTCGATCAGCAACCTCACCAGCTCATTGATTTAACCCACTGCACCAGTGGGGACTCTTAATCTATATATATATATACAATATATTATATGTATATTATATATATATACATATAATCTATTATATGTATATACAATATATTATATTATTAGCATAG